AAAGTGGGCAGAGCAAGCTAAGGGAAAAAAATTTTACTTTGATTTCTAATTTTTGGACTCTTCTTTCTCGACGTTTTCCGAGAGGTGCCAGCCATCCCCTTTAGTTGTGCAGTGCAAGGAAGCAAACTATGCAAATCGAGATCCTGGACGAAAGCCCGCGGAAAACGTCAATTCTCTGCTAGAGGCCTTTCCGATTATGACACCATCCGCTTTTTACTACAGGTTACTTTCAGCCATATCTAGTTTTTTACGATATTACATTTTTCTCCGACAAATTAAACTCAACTGCTTTCTCTCACTAAAGAACAAAGATAAACGAAATTTTGAAAATCTTGACCCGATTTGTTGACAGTAACCTTAAACTGTCAGCCAGCTAATTTGAAGTCTCACAGGTTCTTTAATGATGGGGTACCAGGAAACCTTTTCTAATGACGTTTCAAAAGGGGCCTAGCAAATTGATCCAACTGGAAAGATGATAGGCCCTTTTTACCTCAATTTCGTTTACGTTGGGAATCGAGTTTTTCAACCCAGCAATATCTTGACTACAGCTGTCTCTGTGTGATTCCTCTTCTGATAAATTTAACGAGCGCCTCCCTCGTACAAGATGCTTTATACAATTTCTTTCTTCAAATGAATGTTTTTCTATGGGTATCCCTAATTGGCTCATATTCACAATGTCCCCTCATCATCAATTGTTGACATGATGAAATTCCAGAATTTCACCGAAGTAAACTAGGGGAAACACAAAATTTCAAACTTCGTTCTCCTATCAGATGAAGAGAATCTGGAATTTCGCAAATCAAAATCTCAGAACATCTCTTTGCTTCAATTATATGATTTATTAAACACAAACTATTTAAAGTTAAAATGACTTGCAACTGCGTTGGGATTAACTACCGTTGCCTCATTGTATACGTTGCTAATGATACTAACTACACTGTGCAACGCTGCAACTACTTTCATCATAAACACTTACCTGCAGAACTGACTGAAGATCTCAAGTCAGATTTTGTATCTATTAGAGAAGTATTACTTTTTAACCTCCAACCCCTTATTGCTGCGGATACTAACAGCAATTGTTAAGCATTCAAGTCGTCAAATTTTGACGCTGTTTTTCACTTTAAGAAGGTCGAAATTAAAATTCGACAGGTTAATAAGTCGCTCATGACAAATAGACTCTATCAATATAAGTCCTAAAGTCGTTTTTAGTTCAGCTTCATATCCGATGCTAAAGGTGGGG